GGCCATTTGAAGTTGTAATCTAGCACAAACCATTGGCCTACATTTTTCCACTCATTGCATGAAAGGTCCCAAGCAAGATTGTGGACTCCTACAGAGGAACCTGCCCAGTCATGTCTTACATGTGTGGATTCAATTTGTAACTGTATTTTAATTCATTTCTAGTCTGGGATGATGCTAGATGGCCATTTGAAATGGTATCCATGTGTATGTTTGTATACTCTTGAGTCTTTGGAGAATCTGGATTATCAGTAGGGAGTTCTCAATAAAGCATCAGCTACTAATAGGGAGTTCCTTGGTACCTAAACTGTAATAGAGTGAAATCTCATCGCACACATGAGCAAACTCTGATATGTACGGAGCACCTTGTCTACCTTTGCCACTTAATAATCTGATTTTTTTGAGCCATCAACCAGAAATTATCAGGATTCTGCAAATACCTCGGGCATCTCTTGCTTGCCCATATGATCCTCAAACATTCCTATCACGTTCTGGTATAGCTACATGTGGCATCTAATAGCTATTTAAGAAAAAAAAGGTGCTTCCAGTCATCTCCATAGCAGCTCCAAGACTATAGCTGCTGGCACCTGCTGAAATTGTTGGAGGCCCAGATCCATAAAAGTATTTATGTGCCTCACTCCTATTTAAACCTATTAAAACCAATAGGAAGACACTTAAGTAGAAGCTAGCTGCCTAAATCCTCTGGTGGACCTAAGTCCTAGAAGTAGTGAAAAATGCCCATATTAATGTCATAGTTTTTCATTTAATCAACCAAAATGTATGGGTTTTTAATGCTTGCTCAAGAAATATTGCTAAAATGATTGATTGCAATAGTTTGTCTTTGAGATCCAGAATCAGAAGAGCACTTAGACATGGCAGTGCTCAGCACCCTCATGCCTAACTTTTAGATAGGCAACTCCAGGAGTGGAATTTAAAGACTTGATATAGGGACCAAATTACCTTATCCAGAGAATGAGAGAAGTCCTTTCTCTGGGTTAGGCACTTAGGAATAAGATTCAGAAAAAGTAGCATGCTGCAGGATAGATGTAGAAGCAACACCTCAGCCAGACAATTGGAAATATTGGTTGTTGTTGGTAGTGGTGCCCAATGGTCACATTTTCTTTTTACATAATCCATAATTATTGAGGACTAATGCATTAAAGAGGTATTGGATAATAGAGCAGTATGAGGACTAGAATACAAAACTCTATTCCCAGGGCATTGTTCATATCACTGAAATACAGAGCCATGCTCCTTCTTGCTTTCTGTGTCCCTCTCCCCAGGAATCTTGCATCATTTTTTCATGTAGGGGTGAACTTCAGCAGAAATGTTCGAAAATGCTACTAACTCTAGCCCAGTGGTTCCAACCTGTGGTCCACAGAGCCCTGGCAGTCCACAGACTATGTCTAAGGGGCCACAGAAGATGACTATGATAAATTAAAAGTATGTGAATACTCACACTTACAATTCAAAGGGCTCCACACCTCCATTCAAATTTTCAAAGGGGTCCATACCTCCATGCAAAATGTTAGGGGTCCACAAAAGAAAAAAGGTTGAAAACCACTGCTCTAGTTTATAAACTGGGTAGGAGATATGGGTTTTTAATCCCTCAAGCTAGAATCCAGGTGTTCCACATACTGGGCAGATGTTCTATTATTGAGCTATTATGTAAAAAGTGAGAGCTACATACCCAATTGGCCTTTTTTTGTTTTTGTTTTTTGTTTTTTGTTTGTTTTTTTTAATAGAAGAGGCTATAGCTGCTGTCAAGAACTCAGTATTGTTCTGATGTACTAGGTATGCTCAGAACACACCTACCAAATCAGACTGCACAGGTCTCTTGGACACTAAAACCTTATTTGGTAATCCCAAACAGATTACCCCAAATTTATAAACAGATACTGCATTTTTTTTCTGGGAAGAAAGGGGTTTTTGTTTTTTGTTTGTTTGTTTGTTTTTTTGTTTTCTGTCCTGAGATCCTACTGATTATTCATACTCATTGCCCCGCTTCAAGTACCTGTGGAGAATGCTGAATAACATTTTTTCCTGGAACATCACTGTGTGCATCTGTAAATTAATCCTGGCTCATTTAACTTAATTGTGGCTCATTCCAGGGACAAGCTTGTCATACTGGGTGCATCTACACCTGCAGTTAAGGCAAAACCATTAAACTCCAGAGCACTTTGAACCAAAGTAAGCTGCTCCTGGGCACAGCATCTACACATGCACCTGAGACAATAGCACTTTGAGCCAGGGCAGAGCAACCCTGGACTGGCAGCAGGCTCCAAGAGGTCAGGCTCTGGGCAGTGATGTTGAGTGGGAGAGGGACTGGCTGGGGCATGAGGGTGCAGAATCTGTAGAGCCGTGTGGCTAGGTGGCAGACTGCCTCTGCACTTTAGCACACTTGTGCCCCAGCCAGCCCCGTCACCATTTACATGAGCATTTTGTTGCACTTAATTACAAAGCTGTTAGATAGTACTGTCTCTGGACAGTACTATTTTATGGTGGAGTTAATTAATTTACTGTGCCCTAATATAGGTGCATGTGTAGACGGTGATGCTTTACTGTAGAGCTAATTAGTCAACTCCACAGTAAACCCCACTATGTGCTCTCCTTGACCATCTATTGGCAGAGGAGCAACAAAGCAACTGGAAAAGCAACTGTGTGTAAATGACTGTGCCACTTCTATTTTAATCTGAGTCAAAACCTGGGACAATCAGAACCACCTCAAATGAGATCTATTTATAGCCACACAGAAATATGTACCAAGATGGCAGCATTTCTAGATATGTGCAGTAGCAGAAACAAAATTATGCAGTTGGCAGGGACTATGAAGTCCAAGGGAGTGTTTGCCCATTATCACTTTAACTGTCTCTATGGTGAGGGTGGATTGATTCCAGTGATTCTCTCTAGAGATTCAATTTGGAGACATCATCTTTAGTGTATCTCCCACAGCTTTATAGCACTTCCATTCAAGAGAAAGAAGTGTCTCAGGAGTGCTTGGGGCAAGTCAGAAGACCTAACAGATCAGAGAATAGAGAATATGAGTACACTAATACAGTCTTAAATTCAGTAACTTCTCCCCATTTACCCCAGAAGTACATGAATAGTGAACAGGTTGGGATCCAGAAAAAACTTGCTGTAATGATTTGCTTAGTACAGGTCACATCAAATCTTTACATGTCCCTGCATAAAGCAGGTATTTAAAAAGAGACTGATATGTAGGTGCATATATGTGTGCAGATAGATGGCCTTCTATATGTACTAGGTAACCTCTACAGTATTTAATCCCTACTATATATATATATATATAGTAGGGATTAAATACTGTAGAGGTTACCTTGAGATGTACTTCAGTGTTGAAAATATAAAGAGTACTTACCTCATGGAACAGAATAAGCTATTACACTTTTTTGGGAATAGGAATTTTGTTGAAACACACAGTCAAATTTCACATTTTGGTATCTGATC